TCCAAGCAACTGTCTTTTCAATTGCCTCGAGCTCTGGTAGCATAGTGCCTAAGGCATTTGACTGCTAGCCAGAGGGCTGGTGGTTCAAACCCACCAGCCACCCCTCGGAAGGAAGGTTGGGAAATCTACTTCTGTACTGACATCACCTCGGAAACCCAAGGAGAGGTGGCTTTGAGTCGGGTCCGACTCGACAACACATAACAACAACAACAACATATGCATGTGAGAGCTGGACAATGAATAAGGAAGACTGAAGAAGAGTCGAAGCCTTTGAATTGTGGTGTTGGTGAAGAATACTGAAAATACTCTGGACTGCCAGAAGAACCAACAAATCTGCCTTGGAAGAGGTAGAGCCAGAATGTTTCTGTGAAGCAAGAATGGTCGGACTTCATCTCTCAGCTTTGGTCATGCTACCAGGAGGGACACCATTCCCTGGAGACTGGTATCTCTTGGGTAAAGTAGAGGGTCAGCAGAAAAAGGAAAGAACCTCAATGAGGTATATGGACAGTGTCTGCAATGATGGAGTTAAGCATAGCAAGGGTTGTGAGGATGGCTCAGGACCAGGTGATGTTTCATTCTGTTGTACACAGGGTCACTATGAGTCGAAATCGACTCTATGGCACCTAGCAAAGACAATTCCAAACTTAACTTTCCCTTTTTAAAATGTAATGAATCAGAAAAGACTTCTTTCATTGAACACTCGAGCTTACTAGATGTAAATCGTTGTACTAATACCACTAGTACTGAAATTACTGACAGCCATATGAATATAACAGAATTTGTTTCAAACTCTGTACCCATTCCTCACTAGAGAAATTTTATAATGGTATGGAAAGTGAAACTGTTTTAGAATTGGAAATTGTTACATCTGCAGACCCCATAAATAACAGAAATACAGATCCTGCTCTGTAGAATCATTTCTCTTCTAATGATGCAAATTATTGCATGCAAAGAGGTCCAACTGATTGTCAACATCACAGTGGACCATTTGAAAAATTGTGTCAAAAATTTCTGGAAGGTAAACAAACAAGGTTCTGTAATCAGAATATACTTCTAGGGTGCAAAGCTAATGGTGAGATTATAAGAGGGAGTGGCTACTGTAGTCTCCATCAGTCAGCTCTGTATATTGTTTTGTTTGCAAACTATTTGGTCCTAAATCCTTAAATTCTCAATTTTCTATGGATGGATTGAGTGACTGGAACAACTCAAATATGATTGATACACATGAAAACAGTTCAATCTACAGATTGCATGCTGCCATATTTAAAATAAAGACCTGGTTGTGACTTAACTCATGAACTGGAAACTCAAATTAATGAACATCAGTACTAGAAAGGCATTATGACAAACTCTGTTGCTGTCCTTATAATAATCACTGAACATGGATTATCTTTTCAAGGAAAGAACGGAGTGTTTAAGTCCCCACAAATAGAAATTTTGATGTTTACTTGAACTTTTTGTTCAGGTTGATCCATTTTTAGCAGGTCACATCTCAAAATATGGTAACACAGGAAAGAGCAACACATCACATATGTCCAAAACAAAGTGTGAAGAATTAATCAATTTAATGAGGGATACCACCACCCGTGTGTTAGTTTATCATACTGCAGTGGCTTGCATGTTGCTGTCAGGCTGGAAGCTATGCCAACTGTATTTCAAATACCAGTAGGGTCACCCATGGTGGACAGGTTTCAGCAGAGCTTCCAGTAAACAGTAGTGAAACACTTTCTGACACATTACTAGAGAACTTTATGAATAGCCATGAAACATTTTCCTATACAGTACTGAATGATGAGCTACTCAGGTTGGAAGGCACTCAACGTATGACTGAGGAAGAGAAGCCTCTCCAAAGTAGAGTTGACTTCAATGATGTGGATAGAGTATTATTTTGGGACCTTCATTTACTCATGGGGCACAACTCAAAATGGGAAGAAACAGCTGCAAACATTCATTAATAATAGAAATGTGGAACATATGAAATATGAATCTAGCAGAATTGGAAGTTGTCAAAAATGAAATGAAAAGCATAAAGATTGATGTCCTAGGCACTAGTGAGCTGAAGTGGACTGATATTGACCATTTTGAACCAGATCATCAAATTATCTACTATACTTCATTGTTCTTTAATGTAGCATAGTATTCCGTTGTGCAAATGTACCACAATTTGGTTATCCATTCATCCGCTGATTGCTCATATGCATGTTCAAGTTAAAGCCAAAAAAAATTAAAATAAGTCCACAAGAGCCAAAATACAACCTTGGTTATATCACACCTGAATTTAGAGACCATTTGAAGAATAGATTTGATGCCTTGAACATCAATGACCAAAGACCAGATGAGTTGTGGGTCATATCAAGAACAACATCCATGAAGAAAGCAAATGGTTATTAGAAAGACAGGAAACACCCAGAAATTCCATTACTAGGAATATGTCCTAAAGAGGTGAGAGACAGTGCACGAACAGACATATGCACACCTATGTTCATTGCAGCACAATTCACTAAAGCAAAGAGATGGAAACAACCTAAATGCCCATCAGCAGATGAATGGATAACCAAATTGTGGTACATTTTCACAATGGAATACTATGCTACATTAAAGAACAATGAAGGATACACAAATCATCTCACAATGTGGATGAGCCTGGAAGACATTACGCTGAGTGAAATAAATCAATCACAGAAGGACAAATACTTTATGAGCCCATTATTGTGAAAAGACAAAGAAGGGGTTGCTTAAGAACCCACTTTGTAGGTTCCTGGGGTGGGGAGGGAAGGGGATATTAATTTCAGGCTAGTTGGGGCCCACACATTGACATGGGTAAGGGGAAGGATGTATAGAAAGAGTCTGTGACCACCATGATAGCATTAGGAAAAGGGAGGACACAGAATTGTGCACATAAGATATAGATGACAGATGCTGATACCAACCAGTATGTCCACAATACTGCATTACATTAACACTAAACACCAGGCTACAGAGAAATGCATAAACATCTGAGAAGATCAGATGGGGGTCAGTGAACAGGAGTATACTCTAGGCATAATAGATAGATTCAGTGGAGGCTAATCTTGTACAGATACCAGTGATACAAAATACCCACAATCCTTGTAGAAACAACAGAAGACAGACATAGAGTAATCCCTCACAGACACCCAGACACTGTGGGAGAGAATCCAATGATTTACCAACTCATGACCATAGTATTGGGGGACACCAGACTCAATTGGCACAAAAAATACATAAAAGTCTTGTTTCTCATCCTACATTGGTGAGTAGTGACTGGGGTCTTAAAAGCTTTCCAGCAGCCATCTAAGGTGCACCTAATGGTCTCCTAGTGTCAGAAATGAAGAAGAGTTAAACACACACATACACACAAGGGCATTTGGAAGCAATCATCCCCAGGACATGATGGCCCTCGAGACTGGAAGAACCAGATGGTGCCTGGCTACCAATGCCAACCTCTCAAGACAGGATCAAATCTGGAAATCCTAGATAGAGTGAGAGGAAAAACGTGGAACAAAATCCAAAAAGTCAATAATGACCAAAATTACTGGTTGGATGGAGTCTGATGAGACTCCCAGTACTATGGCCCTGTGATATATTCTGGGCCTGGAATAAAACTCACTCCTGGGGGCTAGCTTTCAGCCCAATAGTAAACAAGATGTACATGCAGACCACTCAACCCAGGATGATGCACCCACATACTCTATGGAAATTCATCCCTTGGAGCAATCGACCATGGGGCACCAGAGGGGCAACATTCACATGGAGGAAATGCAGGACACACAGGAGTGCATAACTATGAGGGGCATGGGGGATGGGGGGTTACTGGGCATGGAGGGTGGAGACTGGGTTAGTTTTGGGGATAGTAAATGGGGAGTGAAACTAAGTATACAAGTAATGTTGAATGTAA